TTTTGTTGTTAGGTGCCACCAAGTGGGTTCCAACTCATACTGACCCTATGTACAACAGAACAAAACAGATCCTATGTATCACAGAACGAAACACCGCCTGGTCCGGCCCCATTCTCACAATCGTTGTGCTTGAGCCTATATGTTGCAGCCACTGTGTCAATCCATCTCCTTGAGAGTCTTCCTCTCTTTCGCTGACCTGCTATTTTACCAAGCATGATGTCCTTCTCCAGGAACTGGTCCCTCCTGATAACATGTCCAAAGTATGTGAGATGAAGTCTCGCCGTCTTTGCCTCTAAGGAAAATTCTGGCTGTACTTCTTCCAAGACAGATTTGTTCATTCTTCTGCCAGTCCATGTATATTCAACATTCTTCGCCAACACCGTAATTCAAAGCCATCAGTTCTTCTTCCATCTTTCTTGCTCATTGTTAAGCTTTCACATACATATCAGGCAAACAAATGTATTTTTTATGCCTTATATCAAATAATTGTCGTCACCTTCATCCTCAAAAGCCTTTACTAAATGCAATGGTATTTTTGATGTGGTCCTAAATTTAGCTGAAGTGAGGAAATTAGTATCACAGCTCCTTCAGAAGTAACATTTAAAATGAACTTGATCTCAAAGTATATTTTCTTCTTACTGCTGGCTGATGACTTATTATATTGGCTAGTGATTTATCACTATTTGTACTAAAAGAATACGTAATTCAAGGATTTAACAAATAAAACACATTTTATTCTCCCATTGAACTCATATTTGAAGACTTTATGTTCAATTGATTTATAAATGAAACATTTTAGGGACGTGTGCAAATCCCCTGTGGTCCAGTTTATTAAATGGCAAGAAAGAGAGGCAGAGAGACGGAGTCTCAATCAAATAAAATGTGTGGACCTTGTTTGGAACCTGATTTGAACCAACCAGTCTTAAAAATCATGCATGAGACAACTGAGGGAATCTGAATACTGACTGGGTATTTGAAGACATTAAGAAATTATTTATTTTTATATATAATAATGGTTTTGTGTTAAAAAAAGAGTTCTTATTTTTTGGAGATATATACTAAATTATTAATGAATGAAATAGACATGATCTCTGAGATTTGTGTGTATGTATTTCTTGGGAGAAAGAATGAGGGAGTACCAATGAGACAAGATTGGCCATGTGTTGATAATTATAGAAGCTGAGTGATGGATATCAGGGTTCATTTGTACTATCCCTTCTACTTTTGTATATGTTAGAAAATTTCCGTAAAATGAAGTACCGCATTTGATTATGCAAAAACAAAGTGTCTTAACCACCTTAACCCAATCATCAAACTTAGCATCACTAATAACTGGATAAGCAGACATAATGTGCCTCCTTACTCCTTATGTTGACAGCATATTGCATTCTCTCCAGTGGAGCCCTGCTGGCACAGTGGTAAAGAGTTTAGCTGCTATCCAAAATGTCAGCAGTTCAAATCCACTGGCTGTTCCTTGGAAACCCTGTCAGGGCAGTTCTACTCTGTCATATAGTTCTACCCTGTCTTGTAGGGTATGACTATGAGTCAGAATTGACTTGATATAATGGGTTTGGTTTTATACAATATTCAGTCAACAAATATTCAACTTGAATCTAATCGAGTCTTTAGATCTAACTTTCATTTCAGTTTATAGGAAATATAAGGGAGAGAAGTTAAGTAACATCATGAGTAAATAATCAGACAAATCCAGAACGTCAGATACTCAAAAAGCCAATGTCATGGACAATTACTGATACTACTACTAAAAAGTATAGGGGGGTACTTTTGTGCCGAGGACCCCCACTAGGAGACCAGGAGACTGACAAAGCCAATGAACTGTTATTCAGAATAATGTTTTTAAATACATACAATAAAAACAGGATTTGTAAAGAAAATTATATTAAAATACAATTATCAAAAATATTTTAAAATGTGATATGATAATATATATGCTTCATTATTAATGCATTAAATAACAAGAACTACTGGCAAGTCTGAGAACTAGTTACTAGTTTTTAGTTATTTCAAATTAGTGATAAATATAAAATATATTTCTGAGATATCTGCAATAGCTGTAACAGCATGAAAACATCTATAGTTTCTATTGGTGACAAAGCCACAGGGGCTGGGCTAATACTGCTGTAGTTCGCTACCTTCATTCATAATGAAAAGAAATGCTAAATTTCAGTTAGATTTTGGTGAAAATAAAGATGTGACTTTTTTCCCATCCAAGTTCATGGACCTTTTGCATTGTATCCAGGTTAAGAACCTCTGCTCTAGATTTTAAAAGATTAAACAGATTTAACAACCAAATGCAATGTACTATTATTTAACAGTTCTTGTTTTGAAAAAAAAAAAGCAAACAAATATAAAAATATTTTGCCGACAATTAAGGAAGTCTGAATACAGAGTGAGTTATATGATTTTAGAGAATTATTGTTAATTGTGTTTGGTGTGATAATGGTATAGTGGTAATTAGAAGAATACTTTTATATTTTGGAAATGCGTACTGAAGAAATCAGGGATGAAGGGGCATGATGTCTTCACATACACAGACACACACACACACACACACACACACACACACACATAGAAAGATATTTACAATTCCTTTATGTTGAATCTAGATGGTAGATATTGTATTATTCTTTCTACTCTTTTGTGTGTTTGGAATTTTCATAATAAAAAGTAAAAAAAAAAGTGACTTTAAGATCTTTTTATTGAGGTATAATGTAGATATGGTCAAGTGCATTAATTGTAAGTGTATAGCTTGATGAATTTTTACATGTGTAAACACCCATGTAACCATACTAGTTCAAAATATAGAACATTTCCAGCACCGCAAAGTTCCCTAGTACCCGCTTCCCAATCAACCTCCCCTTCCACCCCAGTTAACCACTATCCTAATTTCTATCACCATTGATAAAGTATATACTCTTTTGTATCTGGCTTCATTTGTACAACATGACTTCTTGATATATTAAAATAACTTTTTAGAGATTGATAATACCGTGTTTGGCAAGGATGTGAGAAAACAGGCTCTCTCTTAAATTGCTGGTTGAAACGTAAATTGGTGAAGCCTTTCATAAGGAAGATTAAAATACTCACACCCTTTGCCCTAGTAATTTTACATGTAACCCGTTGCCATCAAGTCGATTCTGGCTAGGGGTCCTAAAATAGTAACAGCAATGTGCACAAAGATATAAACTCAAAGACATAAGCTTCTAATAGTCAAAAATTGGAAGCAACATAAATGTCCAGCAGTGGAAATGAGGTTAGATAAATTATTGTATATTTATACTATGATATGTCATGAGCTATTAAAAATGTGAGATATAGCTATATGTAAGTGGAATGACCTTTAGGCCCTATCATTAAGTTAAAAAAGAGGAAGATCCAGAACAATATGTATACTCCATTTATGGTAAAAGAAAAAAAAAAAACAATAGAAAGGGGTTGAGAAAGATGCATACACCAAATGGTGGGGAGGCAAACGAGCGGAAGTAAAAAGGGCTGTTCAAGTTTTGTCCTGTATTCTGTACTTCTGAATTCTTATATCATGTACAACCCAAATATTCAAGTACTACTTGTGTAATTAAAACATTTTTAACTTTAATATAAATAAAAGAACAAAAAAAGGGTGCTAGGATAACGAAACTACACAAACAACTACAGCAGCTCTTACTTTTGTTGGGGGAACTGGGCAGATTGGGGCTGAGGTGGGAAAGAGACTTTTCATTATCTTTATTTTTATATTTTGTAATTTTTTCATTAGAAAGGTATAGTCTATTCAAAAAAATAATTTAAAAAAAGTGTACTGGGCAGTTTTTTTGGGGGGTGGAGTCACAGAGACCCTTCCCCATTTTTTCATGTAGTTAACAATGTAGTTGCCCCGAAGGAGTAGTAGAGACAAGATGGTGTATATTTAACTGAAATAAGGAGGATTTTTTTTGTGGGTTTCTGTGGTCAAAGAAGGAATGGTATTAAAAGTAGGATTGAAGGAGAAATAGGAATCAGATAAATGAAGGGTGGTTTGGAGTTGGTGGGGTTTACAGCACGCTCAGAGGGTTTAGGAAAGCCATGAAGACGAGGATTTGTGCAGGCCCTCTAGATAGTGTGGGGACTGTCTGTGGAAGCACTCAATCGCCAGACTAAGGACTTTGGGATTTATCCTCGAGGTAACGTTTAATGAGCGCTTATTCACTGTTAGGCACGACGCTAAGCCTTTACATACAATTCTCATAATAAATCGTTTGAGAAGATGCTATTAACATTCCCATCTTGCAACTGAGCAAACTAGGAACATTTTGAACTGGGGAACGACAAGAAGAAATCCATTTGTTTAGACTGTGCGTATACTGAATAAGAATAGCTCAAAGAAATTAGGTGACAACAAATGGCACGGATGATAGCGCAGGTACCGAACCCCGACTTTGGTGTTGTTTGGTATTATTCACTTAAGAATCTTGGCGGGCAGAAATCCATCGATCTCAAAAAGCCAAAGCTCGATCCCGCAGCATGCCTAGTTATGTCCCGCTTCATTTTCCCGCTCATTTCCACAGGAACGGGGCTGGAGAAGAGTGGGTCTGGCCATCAGCTCCACCGAATAAACCAGCAGTGAGCTTCCAGACGCATACCCTATTTCCCACCCGCTTCTCGCCAGAGCTGCCTCTAAATTTTTCCTGCTACTCTGGAGAAGCTATTGAAAGTGAGTTTCAGAGGCAGCTCTGTTCTCTCAGGCTACTGCAACGCCCACATCATTGCAGCCTTGTTTTGCCCATGGGACTCCGCAATTTAGCCTTTCACATTCTTTTGTTGTTGGTGCTCTGCAACACCAACACACAAAATCAAATCCAGGCTTTAAGAATTCCGGATGGGCCAGGAGAATGGAAGCTGGGAAGTGAGGAACAGTCGGTGAGGAATGAGAAGGCGCGGGGGGAAGAGACGCCCGCCCCTCCCCCCACTCCTTTGCGCCTCTATGGACTTGGAACTACCAAGCCCGGCGTGCCCCGGGGCGGTGCGGGCGCAGGTGCGCGTGCGCGGCGGGCAGCCGTTGGCTGAAGCTGCGGCTGCGCTGGTCGCGGTGCTGTGAGGTCTGCGGGCGCTGGCAAATCGGGCCCAGGATGTAGAGTTGGCTGTGCCTGACGGCGCGTCTGAGGCGGAGTTGGGTGGGGTAGAGAGTAGGGGGCGGTAGTTGGGGGTGGTGGGAGAAGGAGGAGGCGGTGAATCACTTATAAATGGCGCCGAAGCAGGATCCGAAGCCTAAATTCCAGGAGGGTGAGTCTGGGCCCTTGGGGAAAATGCACCTAACGGCTAAGGAGAGGGAGGCGGGCTTGCGATGGTTAAGGTTTGGAGGTCGGGGGCGGTACCGGCTGCCCCTTGAGAAGGCGGCGGGCAGTGCTTTGTGCAGAGAAAGCGCATTGCGGAGGATAATTTTCGTGCGTCATTGGGAAAAGACGCTTTGTGAAACGAGAGCGTTACGCAGGCGTTTAGAGTGGAACGCTTTGCGCGTGGCAAAGCCTTAGTCCAATGTTTGTTATTGTTCTGAGGAAGGGCGCGGAGAAAGCAGCCTATTGTAGGGAGGCGACGGATGCGCCATGGCGGCCGTTAAGGGAAGTGATGTGGCGTGGGGGGAGGGGAGTTAACGGCGGCCGTTTCGGGCGGTCTTGCGGAGATGCCGGCTGCGTGGGCGACCAACGGTTGGCAGGCCGAGGCTTGCTTGGAACCCCGAGGTGGTCCTGTTCTGTGGCGACGCCGAGCTGCGGAAGGGGGGGGGTTTCGCGCCTCGGGGCGGTGGAACTGCGTTGTAAAATGGCCGCTTCAAAATGGCCGCCTCGTCATGGCCGCTGGCGTCTCGGCCCCGGTCCGCAGACGCGGCTTAAGGGCAGATGCAGCGCCCCCATCAACAACAACCATACGGATACCAGGTCCCTAGCGCTTACCTCAGCGAGGTGGGTGGGGACAAAAAAAAAAAAAAAGACTAGCCTTTTCATCTGCTTTGTGTTGCCTGAGGCATCACTTTGCTTTCGTAAGAACGGAGTGCCAAGATTCTATGTGAATGTGCGCTGTTGCTGTGCGGTTGCTTGTTTAAAAACAGAACTTTAATGCAGTATTATTGGTGTTTCCATTTATAGTAAACCCTGTAGCCTTGATGTCGTTTTTAAAGCATAGCAGTTATTTGACTAATTGCAATAACGTTTGATTAACAGTAATTTGAAAGTTGAATTAATTTTTCATTGATTGGCTTTTGATCGACAAGTTTTTGGCTGGCGTTAGAATGTGATCTCCAGTGAAAGACAGCTCTTTAACTCTCACAAACAACGCATCTACCCCAAATAAAGTATATTGGTTTTTTTGGGCTGTTTAAGTTTCGATGAGTATCCTTACCTTCTTCTATTCTGCCTTGAGAAGCTATGACTCTACTGTACCTCCTACGGATTTATTATTTTACTAGGTGCTTTAGAGCAGAAATTCTTAATCTAGAGTCAGTCTATCGAATTCAGAGGGTCCGTGAACTTGGACGGGAAAAATTTTTTTAAATTTTTTTCTACCTTCTAACTAAAACTGGGTATTTCAATTATGAATGTAGATCCCCTCCAAAAGAAAACACCGATAGTAGTATTAGCTGTACTGTGACTTTCTTACCAACAAAAATCTCAGAGATACTTTCACATCCTAACATTACAGTTGTGAAAGATATCTTTATGTATCATTTACACTCCCCATTACTTCAAAATTATGGTAGTTACTGGATCAACAGCTAAATCTTGTTTACTGCAATAAGGAGCATATGTAATACCACAGAACACGATATTTAAAGTATTTTGGTAACTATTTCGATATAGTTGATTTCTTTTGTAATACTTGGTTCTATGCATATAAAAACATTCTAAGACTGTCAAAAGGTCCATGGCAGAAAAAGTTAATCTCTGCTGTAGGATATCGAAGGAGGAGAACCATTGAGGTCTGGCAGTCAACGATGGCTTTCTGGAGGAAATGGGATAGTTCTAAGCTTGAGGGATGGTAGAGTAAGTGGTAACAACAAACGATAATCCATATATTGCCATAGTGGTGAATTGGAGAAGAGTAGGAACCAAAGTTAGGGCAGGTAAGGTTTTGAAAGTTATGCAGAATGTCTCTGCACTTTTCCAGGTGTGTTTTCTACTCATGTCAATACTGAATTGTAGAACCATCTTTAAAAAGTTGTAGTTATTTATAAAACATGTTCAGAGGGTTGTAAAAGAACATTAATGCTAATAATTATCTTGAAACACTGGAAAAGTCAAGTTTATGAAATAAACAATAGGGATATGAATTATGAAAATGTGGAAATAGCCTTTTTAATTGTTTTTCTTGATTCTTGAAGGTTTCTTGTTCAGTGATGATACAGAGTATGTTATGTAAGCAATTTTTAAACACAGTGACTGCTTAGCACTGGACTTGGTCTTCACTTGAATGTCTATTAAAGCATAGAATAAAGGAAACTTGGGGGTGTACCCCATTGTCAGAGATTAAGAGACTGGCTGATGCTGGCTTGAGAGTGATGTTCCTAGGAAGCACAAACCAGTGGGAGGATGAGGAATTGGAAGCTCATCAGCCTTGAACTTTAGCATTGGGTAGAATTTCCTTTGTAGTTTGATACTCAAAAGGATGAGAAAAAAGATTGAGTAGAGGAAGATATTAAGCAATCACATCTGGTACAGAGTTTTGCTCTTTACTCAATTACTGATCTTTCCATTTCCATGAAAAACAGGTATTTGTTGTCATGTGTCATTCTCCTCAGCATCTCTATTTTGTTCTCAACAGAAATACAGGACCAGGTAGGAGGTCGTAGGACCTCAGCCTTAGTGCAGTTATTTTTGGTAGCAGCGGCCAAAAGAACAAAAACAAAACCTCTGATAGACCCATTTTCAGAACGCGTTTAAAGTATCTAAAGAGTGAAATAAGGAAACAGATCTGATCTTTGGTGCTCCTCCTTATTAGCACTGTAGCTAATCTGTGTCTCCCCACATTATTTCCCACAGTATTCAGTGATGACTCCAGCCCAGCTCTCCTCGGCTTCAAACATGTGCACCTAACAGTTTACTAGATATTTCCATGTTGGATGTGCTGTAGCCATTGTTACATAGTCCAAAACTGATCTGAACCCTGTAACCCCCATTTCATGTTCTGGTTAATGCTCCCAGTAGGTTGGGACTCTGTCTAAATCTTTTCTATTTTTGCCTTATCTGACCTTTACTCCTTACTGCTTTTGGCTTTGGTTCAGACTGATTTGAGTTCTTACCTCTGGACTGTTGGAGAAGTCTTTGACTGGTATCCCTGTTTCCAGTCTCTGCTTTAATTAAGCTCTGCATGTTGTTGTTAGTTGCTGTCAAGTTGGCTCCGATTCATGGAGACCTTATTTATAACAGAATGAAATGCTGCCAGGTAGAATGAAATGTTGCCAGGTCCTGTGCCATCTTCATGACTGTTGGTGTATTTGAGTCCATTGTTGCGGCTGTTGTGTCAATCCATCTCATTGAAGGTTTCCCTTGTTTTCGTTGGCCCTCTGCCAAGTATGATCCTTTTCTAGTGATTGGTCTTTCCTGATGACCAAAGTAAAGTAAGCAAGATGAATTCTCTGCGTTCACTTCTAAGGAGCATTCTGGACCCTTCTGGCAGAATAACACGCTCTGGATAGACCTGCCAAACACTAGCAGTGGGTTCTTCAGAGTATACCGCTGTACAGATAGTGTATATGGAGAACTTGTATTTAAAAGTAAGGTTACTGGGTTCTACGCTGGGAGATTCTAATATTACAGGTCTCTGATGAGGCTTGAAAATAATATAGTTTCAAAAACTGCTCTAAGAGATTCTCAGTCATTTTTGGGAATCCTGTGAAGGATAAAATCCAGACTTTATAACGTTTAATATATGAGACATTCCATGATACATGCAACTTTAATGACAAGTTTTGCATGTTTATCCTATGCTGCAATGATAGTGAACTACTTACATGGTCCTCTTGATAGTGTCACCCAATCTCTCGCTTAAGTTGTTTCCCTTTGCCTGGACCCTGGCTTCCCTGTGACCCTCCCAAGAAGCACATCGTTCTTCTCCTTACTACTAATTTGTGAAGATAGTTAAAATTTGAAACCCGGGAGATTGTTCCAAACTATTTGCTTACATATATGTGTCCCCTACTAATCTGAAAGAGAGTGCTTAGCACACAAAAGGCGCTGGTTAAATATTTTGTTAAAAAATGAATACTGGTAACCGTAAGATATACAGATTTGCTGCGCGATAACTATTTCACATTAAAGATGCATCTGTAAGTTGTCAGTTTCGAAAACTATGTTTTTAAAAGCAACAGTAAATTAAAAAATGGTGAAACCCATATTGCTCAAAATTTGAGAGCTGTAAGTACTTTTGTTATCTCTGAACCCCCCGCCCCCCGGGCTTGTTGATACCAAGTAGACTGAAACTAATGCGTGAGAAATCTATTTCTACTACAATCAAATGTAATCTGAGATACTGCTGAAAATTGCCTGCATGATTTGTCTACTGAGCAAGTTTGGAACAGGGCTTAAATTTGGCAAAACACAATGCACTTCTTCTCACCTTTAAGCAGCGGTGATTTCAGGTCTTATTCCAGCCCCTTTCATTTTATTTAGCTTTGCAAGTCTTAATGATAGATTCAACATAGATTGTAAGTTCCAAAGGTTAAGATTTTTTTCCTATTTTTTTGTTTAGTGAAGCACCTTAGCACCCAGACGTTATTGAACACATTGAAGGAATGAACATAGTGGGACGCCTTAAAAAAAAAAAAAAAAGTCCTCCCCGGTATACATTGAAGTTTTAATGTATAGAATATTTTACTCAGTTTAATCAGTAAAGGGGTTGGAAGTAAGTGTTTAGGTGGAAGACAAGGTCCTAAACTGGTAAAACAGATGGGGAAAAGTATTTAAAAAACATTTTTTTTAAAGCAAAAAAAAGATACACAATTAAACACAAACCCTGCCAAGCAGATACCTGCCGTAGATTTTATTTGCTTAGCAGGTGATAGATGGTTTGATTTTAAATAGATAGCGTTCTAATAAATTGTTTTTTTGTTGGTCACATCCATAGCCAACAACTACGAATACATAAGTTTGATGTCTCTCACATGTAAGTCTTTATATAAAGGTGAATTGCAGTTAACTAACCCTGTACTTCTTCGCTTTTGCAGGTGAGCGAGTGCTATGTTTTCATGGGCCTCTTCTTTACGAAGCAAAGGTAGGAAACCTGTTTTCCTCTGAGAAGTTGGCCAAAATGACTGCTGCTTAGATCAGACTTTAAAACGAATTTCAGTGTTTTGTTGCTTCAGCAAAAGAGTTGCCTTTTTTCCTTCTCTTTTCCCCTTCTTCCTTTTCTGGGTTTCTCACTGCTTGCTTAAACCAAACCAAACCCGTTACTGCTGAGTCGATTCTGAAGTGATAGCGGCCCTCTAGGACAGACTAGAACTGTCCCATAGGGTTTCTAAGGAGAGGCTGCTGGATATGAACTGCCAACCTTTGGTTAGCAGCCAAGCACTTAACCACTGCGCCACCAGGGGTGGGTCAAATAAAGCATTGCTACTCTTTTCTGACCTTGCCATTCATCTTACTGACCTGGTAAAAGGCCCAGTGGTTAGAAGGAGCAGTTGAGGGGGGTGATAGAAGACTGGTCGGTTGTGGGAGTAAATAACATTATAGTTGATGACTTGTGAGAGAACACTGCCAAAGTTAATTTTATATGCAAATGTAATATGCTTCATAAACATTGAGCTAATTATATTAGGTTAAAGGTAAAGGCTAACATTAAAAATGAATGCATTTAACTTTTGATTATTTGTTGGTTTGTCTGGCAAAATTTGAATCCTTCCAAACTCTTTTAGCCAAAAATAAACAGGATAATGCATTCCAAAGTTTGTAGTATTTTGTTTCTGGTAACCTTTTTAGCATAAATATTTAGGACTTCAGTGTACTTTTAATACTTACAGTTTTTAAAATGAACAAGTTATAAAAATGGAAAACAGTATAATGTTTAGTTACAAGCAGTTTTTACATAAATTCTTGGTAAATAGCTTATACATGTCTGTGAAAATAATCTTTTATTTGTAAAGTGTTGGGCACTGTGACCAAATAACTGTTTTCACTTGTGTTTTAAACACATAGATGTGTGTTTTTAAATTACCAGAATGGCTGGATTTGGAATTAAAGATGGTCAGGAACTTGAAGTGTGTATGTATGTATATAAACTTAATGGTAAAATATGAAATTTGTAAGTAGATTATGAGTCCTTTTGGGCATTTAAATCCCTGAATGTTATTTTCGTTGTATCTACTTCAAGCAAACTTTTTAAACTGGCAGGTTTTTCTTTGGTAGCAAAACACTTCCGTGAACAGTTTTTAAATGGCTCTTGGAATAGAACTATCTTGCCTTGCCTCTGATAATGACTTTTAAATCCAAAACCAGATAATCACGACTTGTTAATGGTTTCCTCTAATAATTCATTCTTATTTATTTGGCTGTTTTTAAGAAGAACACAAAATGTTTTTAATCCCTTACTTTGCTGGTTATTTCAGCTGGTTTTCTGCAGTGCGTCAGTTTATTTTTCATAAGCTAATGGGAATACTTTTATGTAATACAATTAAATGTTTTCTTTAGCTAGACTTTGAGAAAGCACTCACAAATAGCTTTCATTAGCTTTTCATTGAGCTAACGCTTAGGTTGACCTTTTATGTTTATGATGCTTCAGTTTTGTTGGACCTTTTGTGACTGATCTGAAAAGTTTTATAGCTCTTAGATAGTGTTTTAGAGAGTCACATTTTGTTTTCATTTTGGCCACCAGAAAGAGTTTTAAGTCTAGAGAGTATGAGAGAATACTCTAAAATCTTCCAGGTAGTCTTTTTTTTTAAAGTTTCATTTCTAAGTGAATTTTTTCTTCTTTATTTCAGTGTGTAAAGGTTGCCATAAAGGACAAACAAGTGAAATACTTTATACATTACAGTGGTTGGAATAAAAAGTGAGTATTAGATCTTTAAAAGCAATGTTATATTTATGGTTAACAGAGTAATTTGTGTCAGACTGACACAAGCATGTGAGTCTTAATTCTTATACAGTTTTAATATCGTACATAGTGGAAAAAAGATGAACCATTCATAGTATAATGAAGCTATAATAGTAATTAGTTACTCAGAGCCATTTTATTTTAAATGTACTTGATTTCTTGAAGTATTTTTTGTGTTGGCATGTCTCACAAACCAACTATCCTGGTTGAATGGTGATTGACAGATTAGCACGCTACTCTGATAGATTAGCACACACTGCTACTTTGGTACATTTTCAGCCAGCCTGAATTTTCTGGTGTTATTAGTAGAAACTCAGTGACTATATACATTATTTCAAGCAGTTATACTCAAAACTGGCTGGATTTTTCTACCTAGGAAAAGAGGATTACCTAGTTTGGGAGTAATGATAGAATTTATCAAGCCATTTTTCTGAACTTCGGAAACAAATGTTAACAGAAAGTGCTCTCATGTAGCTCACCTTTAGCATATGATTTAGCACAAATAAAAAAAATTAATTACAGACCCTAATTTTCCACTCCCAAGAGTTACTCTTTTTTGGCAGTGGTGTATTAGTCTGTTCCGGGGAGTGGACATGGGTATAGATTGAACACATTCTAGAATATCCTAGCCACTGGAGCTCCTTCTCAGTGATGAGTTTTTATCTTCATGGCCCACAATTACCACATCCAGTAATTTACCTAGGACGCATTTTTGGTGTCTGTAATTGAGTAGCCTGTAATTTTTACAATGAAAGGTTCTAAATTAACTTTTATTAATGGTCTTCTGTCCTTCAAAGATAGCACTGCCAGTAATAATAGTTCTTTTATTAGTTGTTTTCTAGTAATTTTTAAGGCTTTGTGTCACTTGAGCCATGCTCTGGTACTTAACCAGGTGAGCAACGCCATATGATTTGATGACTACTCTGTTGCCATGAAAGGAAGTTTTCTCTATGAAATTTACTGACCCTGTAACTTTGGTCTTGTTTCATATACTCCACTATCTGGGTGACTAACCCAGTTAATTTTATTTCTTTGTTAGGAATTTTTTTTTTCACATATCAAATGCTTCTAGCCAAGAAGAAGTACCAGACCCTTAGCTTCCACTAGTCATACCCATTGCCTTCGAGTCAATTCCAACTCACAGCAATCCTATAGAACAGAGTAGAACTACCCTATACGGTTTCCAGGGAGCAGCTGGCGGACTTGAACTGCTGACTTTTTGGTTAGCGGCCAAGCTTTTAACCTCTTTGCCACCAGGGCTCCTCCATTAGTTGCAGAAATTTGGAAATCTAAAATGTGTAAAAGCACAATTTGCCAACTTGTGATTTTTTTTTTTCAGTTATGAGGAGTAAAGTATATCTCATTAATAATAGGTAATACCAGTAACTCAAAGTAACCCCCATGGGCTTTTGAGAAATTAGGGAAATAATAGCAAAAACGGTCTTTTAGACGTAAAGTATGGCTTTAAATGTGATCTTAGTATTAATGCTAAATTCATTCTAATATCCAGGAAAATTTATCTTGTTTTTTCATAGTATGTCTCATAGCTTTCTCTTTCCTGTTAAATGTTAAAACTGTATTTCAGTCTTTTGTTAGACTTACATTTTACATGTTGATATTCTGTCAATATCCAGATAAAGCTGAGTGTATATTTTAAGTTATGAGGAGAATCTCAGTTCTCTACAAGATATAGAACACCTTATGTATATTATTAATGGGAAGGTTAAGTAAAGTCCAAACGGTATCAAAACAAAAACAAATGGCAGATTCATGGGATGGGCCTCTCCACCTCCCCCCACCCCCACCGGCCGATTTTTAAAGAATTGTTTTTGTTAGAATTTCACCTTAGTAACACAGTTTTTGTACTTAACTCTTTCATGTATAATATTTTGTATAAAATTATATGTAGGTACGTATAGTTCAAAGACTGGATTTTAAGGGACATTTGTAATTGTTCAGAAATTGTGAAAATACCAAATGCTTATGTTTTCTATTTTTGTAGCTTCAAAATAAATATTTTTCCTTTGGTAGTATTGTTCAGTAACATGAGTAAATGATAAGCTTGTGTAGATTTAGTTTTTGTTTTCAGCTAATCTTATATATTAATTACTGTGGAAAAAATCGGAAAATGGCACTAAATATTAGAGATGTTTATTAATATCTTTGTAGATGTATTGAGGAATAATAAAGATTTTATCTTTTGTGGTTGACTTGGTATGTAGGTAAATACATGTAATTTTGAAAAAATTGAACTTAGTTAAGTATTCAGAGAAGAAACCTTCAAATAAACCTAATTTGACAGAGGGAGGAGTTATTCAGATACCTGAGTGTGTTGTGATTTTATTTAGTGCTCTGTAAATAGTTCCCAGGGATCATTGTGACCTTGGGAATTGATCACAAGCTGCTTTTGGATGTTTGTGAAAAATTTTTTTATGCTTGACCAATAAAAAAAAATCTCTGGGCCTTCTGTTACTACCCTTAGTAGTAGTATTTCTCAGGGCAAAGGATGTTGTCATTTCCTTTTCCTTTGGTTTAGCAAGGATTTCAAGCTCCTGACATATAAAGGAAACTATAGCAGTGATTTGGTCTTTTGTTCAGGGTGCTTATTTAGATGTATTTGGAAACATTTAATGAGGTTTTAGATCAGAGGGAGAATTTGCAAGGTTCTCAAATGGAACCTTGTGGTAGTTAACAAAAATCGGCTAGCTCTCTTTGGTTTAGAGAGAATTGTAGGAGTTGTAAGTAGACATATAAATGAGATCCCCATTTTAAAAAATTGGTTTGTAGAATACCTTACTTAAAAAAATTATACCAAAAAAAAAAAAAAAAACCCATACAACAAAATCTCAAACCCCAAATTTGAATTTTCTTAAACTTTAGTTAATATGTATACTTTTTTCAAAAGTATACTAGGTATTAAGATATTTCAAAATTTTCAAAAAACATTATTGGAATTTGTTGACACAGACATTTCAATATTCCATTTGTAAGTAAATCTTAATAAAGCTTAAGCTAAATTCTGCACCTAGTTACTGAGATTACTTTGTACTATGCTGTCTGTATCAGAAGTGCTGTGAGGCCCAGGCGCTCTGAAAAAACTTTGAAGACACGTGAGGATATTGTAGCCCTTTTTCCTGTTCCTGAAGGAGCCCCCTCAGTACACCACCCCCTCCTGACCTCTAGGTAAATGCATGTTTTAAAGTTTTCTCTAGGAAATTATATTGAAGATTGCTTTTTAATCTTAATTTTTTTTTTTTGTTTTGGCTATCTTATATAAGAGGTCAAAGGTGGGAAATCATTAAAAGGTTTCTTTTGCTTTGAGGATACATCTAATTGTGTCACTAAAGGAGCTCCATCAGCAGGAGAAAAGGTTTACTTTGCTTGAAAAGTTGAGCATTCCCTAAGAAATACCCCTAAAAAAACCAACCATGGAATATTTTGTTTTGAAGGAGCTTTCAGTAGTGCCCAAAATACCTTAGCAACTACGTATTTTAAGGGCATGGGTTCTAACTTTTGATTTTTTAGAAAGCCAGCTTTCTGGTCAGCCTTGGAAGTTAGTATATTCATTTGTGAGTGAATAAAGATTTAAAATCGTGTAGTGTGGTAAACTGTTGTAATATTTTAATTTACGTACTTAGCTGAGTCAGTCTAGAGGGTGTTTGAGTATTATAGGCCTCCTAATGTGTTTGTGACATACCGTCAATGTTTAGTTAACATGTGTCAGGTAGTCCTGTGTTTTACATGTGTTATTCAGTTCTCATGACAGTCCTGTGAAAATAGGTTCTGCTACCCCCATTTTACAGGTGATGAAACCAAGGTACAGAGAGTTAATATTTTGCTATGACACAGAGCTAACTAGCCAGTTAGTTTTAGTTTTTTAAAAAATAACAGTTTATTATTGACTTTTGTGCTTCATTTTCGGCAATTAAAATTCTTTTAAGGTAGTGGTTTCATTCTGTAAGGCTAATGGTTTAGAGATTCTTACGTGACATTAACTACTATAATCTTAATGCCGTTGCTAAAAATGATTTGAACATTTCTGTTTTTGAACTCATTGGCAGTTTAGATTTGGAATGCTGTTTCTGGAAATACTAGATTTTCATTTTTATGAGACCGACTTTCATTAGACTGTCATTTTAGTTGACAATGGATTTGTAGTACCAGTTTATCAAATAACTTCAGAGAAATCCGAAGTCTTCCTTCTTGGATCTCTGAAAAATGATTGGCTTCTGAGTGGTAATTAAAATATTTTTGAATGATATTTTAACTTTTCTCTTTCTCAGCTGGGATGAATGGGTTCCAGAAAGCAGAGTACTCAAATACGTGGACACCAATCTGCAGAAACAGAGAGAACTTCAGAAGGCCAATCAGTAAGTTTGTTTTGCAAAATGAATATGAGGAAATGCTTGGAAATTAGTTTTTGAACATAGAATGAACAATGCAGTCATGTTGGTTGCCTGCTTATAAGATGATTCTTGGTACCTGTCAGCTGCTGTGTTATACCTTAGACAAACCTTTCCTAGTTAAAGAAATAGTATACCTGTCATCAAGCATTAGCGCCGGAAGTGGAGCCAGGATTCTGTGAGAAATTGTGATAGTTGTAGGTGCATTGTTCTGTCTTATCCTTTGAGCTGTAGACGGTACGCTTGGTTGTTGGGGGAAACAAAAAAAAAAACGGGAAGGGGGTCCCCATTATTAAGCTCTGAAAGCACATTGAGAAAGGAACGTTAAAAGACTGTATGGTCTATAGGGGGGTAAGTGTTTTTCTTTAAATTTCAAAGCTGAAATGTATATCAAGAAAATTGAAAAGATAAAATGGGATCAGTTAAAAGAAAACTTACTTGTAAAACTTTGGAACTTAGTGTATTCCAAAACAGGAGTGGAACTTTCAATTATATGTGATGATACGACCTATTATAATCACTTCTACTACATTTAATTTTGGTAGTTACAGAAGAATCGAGTTTTAGGCCTTTATTCTTCCTTTCTTGAGTTTTGTAGATTATCTCTTGGTGTAACTTGTTAAAAATTTTGTACTAGAATGTGCATAGACTTGGGAACGTTAAAAAGGCGCCTTAACTTTACAAATTTTTCATCAATCTCAATTTGAATACAGATTTCTAGATGAAATCAAGAGGATACAATTTATTTTTCCAAATAAGTATTAATTTTATGACTTTGTTAAAATTATTTTTGAAGGGAGCAATATGCAGAGGGGAAGATGAGAGGGGCTGTCCCAGGAAAGAAGACATCTGGTCTGCAACAGAAAAATGTTGAAGTGTAAGATGCTCAATCTTTGTTTTAATATTAACATACCACTTTATAAGTGAAATTCAAACCTGACACGCAGTATCACGTGTTAGGGTTTATTGAAAATGGAAACCTTGGGAGCGTTGTTGGATTTTGAAAAAAATGTCAGAATCCCATTCTTGAGTGTCATTAGTTGAAGTCTTTAAGAATACGTATTAATTCTTTAGTTTTCTTCATTAAAGTTTCTTCCGTTGTCTTTTAAATTGTTTATGTAAATGTATGTGCATGTAATATGTTCCTCTCTTACAAAGATAGTATTAAATTAACATTTGAACACAAGTTTTGAAATTTTTTTGGCAAGGTTTGCTTTTTTCAGTAGTGATAAAAATATATACTAATTTCACTGCCCCCCCCCAAACTCATGGTAAGGATATGTGCGATGTTAAGGTTTCAAGTTAACAAGTTAACTCCCTCCCCACAAATACTACTTGTTGTTAAACTCTTTAGATTTTAGAACATTTTGGTAATACAGCCTAGGATGTGGAAGTCATGTGCATGCACATGTCGTATATGTCTAAAGCTTATGTACCTGAAAGCAGGTGTACAAGTGGTAACTTTACTTAATAAGTATTCTTTAATAAGTATTAATAATGTAAGAAAAGAACATAAAGGCCATAACTTTTATTAAAAGAGAATTATTTATAAAAACAAACACTTAAAGAGGCTTGAGGTATGTGGTCAAGTGCTTGTTAAGGTAGTGAAATATTTACATTCTGTTCTTAGAGTTACTGATTTGACTTTTGTACTTAAAAGTAAGGTGTTGGTAATGAAGTTAGTACTGCATTTTGAAGTATTTGAAGCTTCTTTATCTCTTTTGGTGAGAAAATAGTTAATTGATTTGGCAAAGATTGGGTGTGTTAACATTTGAGGACTGTTCATAGCTTCTGTTTGTTATAAGTAGTAACATTTCTGCGGTCTGCTTTTTCAGGAGAACTGGTGATAAATTTATTGAGATTTAATAGCAAATAAGTCTTAAAAGGCAGCAACTTTCTCATATAGAAAAACTATGGTGGATTTTATTAATAAAGTAATACACTTGTTTGTAACTAATCGCTGTGTACTACAAGTTGGTATAGAAGCCTAACCTACGTAAAAGTTATTTATGTTTGAATGTAAAGTGTTCTGTGCAGTTTTCACTAGAAAAGTAATGGCTCAGTTAAGTATGAATTAAAGCTTCAATTTGCCATCCTTAGACAGTGGGAGCTTTTTCACATTGGCTCCTGAGTCTTGAAGGATCCTGAATCTTTCGGGTCTTCCTTGCCAGTAGGTATGGCAAGATTTTCCAGGCTCATCTTCTTCCTGTATGTTTCCTGCCTCAGACATGGAATCTGATACTGCCCCTAGGAAGGCTTCCTTTTAATGAGAAAGTGATATTTTGATAAGATTACAGTATGGATGCTAGAGGTCATCATGTAATTTTAAGTACTACTATTACCTGTGTCTCAGTCATCTGGTGCTGCTCCAACAGAAATACCACAGGTGGATGGATTTAGCAAAGAAAAGTTTATTCTCTCATAGTCCAGTAGGCTACAAGTCCAAATTCAGGGCGCCAGCTCCAGGAAAAAGCTTTCTCTGTCATCTCTGGAGGAAGGTCCTTGTGATGCATTAGTCTTCCCTTCATCTGGGAGTATCTCAGCACAGGAACCTCAGGTCCAAAGGATGTGCTCTGCTCCCAGCACTGCTTTCTTGGTAGTGCGAGGTTCCCCTGTGTCTCTGTTTGCTTCTCTCTTTTATATCTCAAAAGAGATTACATTAAGACACTGTTTAATCTTGTCAACCTCATCAGTATAACCTCATTACAGTGATAGAATTTGCAACACATAAGGAGATCATATATAATCTCACAGTGATAGAGTTTACAACACATAAGGAAATTACATCAGATGACACAATCATAAACACTGAGACTCATGACCCAGCCAAGTTGCTGCACACATTTTTGGGGGGGACACAATTCAATCCATGACAACCTGGTAGAATACTAAAAACCACACCTGCTGCCCTCGAGTGGATTCCGACTCATAGCAAACCTGTGGGACAGACGAGAACTGCCCTGTAGGGTTTCCAGGGAGTGGCTGGTAGACTCGAACTACCAACCTTTTCTTTAGCAGCTGAGCTCTTAACCACTGTGCCACCAGGGCTCCCTCATAGAATAGGAGGTCTGTTTTAAAGTGAAAATATTAGGTAGTCTAAATCTGGTGAAAAAAATTTTTTTCTTTTTAAATTCTTTGTTCTTTCATTCTGCTTTGAGGTTTTAATGTGATTTTAATGTTAAGTTACTCTACTGTATATTTAGTGTTTGGTAATTATTCTGTTATTCTGAATATATATAAATATAAATGCTTCTGGTTAGAAAGTATTTTATGAACCAGGTTACCTTCACTTTGTTGAAGTCTAGGTCTATAATGCTGTGTATTATTTCTAAACTGATAATGAATACGCGTGAATTTTGTTGGCACTTTGGCCTCAAAGGCTATGTTTTTATTTAGTGAATGGCTGACTTAAGACTTCAGTCATTCTTCAAAGTAGATTGCATCTAACAGCTTATGTTTTAACTATAATATTTAGTCATTGGCATTTAGAAATAGGAATACAAACTGAACTTCAGTTTATTATTGTATGAAACCTATTGCACAGTTTGAGAAACTAGCTTGCTTGCTTGCTTCGTTAACACGAGCAGAAGGTTGAAGAAAGAATGTCCAGGATTCCTTGCTACCAGGATTCATTGAAGTATATAGGTTATTTACTTTAGAGTTGAAATCAGCTGTCAGTATTTTTTGTGACCCCGTAAGTTGTAAAGTGAACCCCAAATTGAATGATTAGAGTTAATTAATAACAATTATAAATATTTAAAGCTATGGAAAAGTAAAACTGTTAAGGTGTTTTGACATGTCATACCAGCAGTAATCCACAGTCATGGGCTTTGTAAACTCTTTTCCTTGTAGAGTCATGTGCCGTATAATGTCCTTTCAGGCTACGCCCGATTGCATATACATCCGTGGTCCCCTAAGGTTATAATACAGTATTAACTTACTTAACACATATATTACCTTGTCAGATACATTAGCTGAAATACAGTACTGTATGTGTACAGTGTCCTGGCTGTTTCGTCAATATAGGTACAGTACAGTATTCCATATTGCTTTGCTAAGTACAGGCAGTCCCCAGGATGTACAATCTGCAGTTATGACCCAACGCCCGTAAAGCCTATTATATTAAAATTTCATTGTACATACAATAGTTCATAATAGCAAACAGGCACTACTTTGCTGTGCTCATCAAAACATTATTACTGTATTGAAGTTTTTTATGCGTAGAAAGGTACACTGTATACTAAGACAAACATTTGACTAACTGATGTTAGATACAGACTGTACCTAACTCTTCCGACTTAACGTACAAATTCAGCTTAAAGACAGACTTAAGAATGGAATGCGTTTGTAATCCGGGGACCACCTGTGTATTAACATTGTGTTGTGTTTGCCCAATGTCCAAGTCACATAATGTCCTATTTCACAGAACATATTGTGGACTTTACGTGATGCATGACTGTATTCCAGAAATACTTAATGCCAAAAGGCAAAATTAATAATTTTCTGTTTGGTACCATATAAAAAGACATGAATTAAATTCCTGTAAGAGATAACCAAGAGGAAGGAGATGTTACTTTTGTCCCCCCTTAGATGTGGGAGAATAGAGCATGTGGCATATAGAAAAGGAGGGAATATAGTTAGAAACGAGATAAGGTAAAACAGTTTGGACCAGTCAGAGTGGAATAGCAGATTAGTCTTAAAGAATAGACATATTTAAAATTGAATTATGCTGGTACTAGAGTAACTGGGAAAACATATTTTAATCTTTGGAACTTAATTTATTTTTCATTGTGCTTAGGTGAAAGTTTACAGCTCAAGTTAATTTCTCATACAAACATTTATACACATATTGTTATGTGACCCTAGTTGCAATCCCTACAATATGACAGCACGGTCCCCATCTCCATCCTGGGTTTCCTGTGTCCGTTCAACCAGCTCCTATCCCTTTCTGCCTTCTCATCCGACTCCCCGACAGGAGCTGCCCATTTAGTCTTGTGTATCTGCTTGAACTAAGGAGCACACTCTTCTTGAGTTTTATTTTATAGTCCAGTCTAATCTTTCTCTTAAGAGTTGACTTCGGGAACGGTTTTAGTTCTGGGTTAAGAGAGAGTCCGGGGGCCGTGTCTTCTGGGGTTCCTCCAGTCTCAGACCTTGAAGTCTGGTCTTTTTACGTGGATTTGAGTTCTGTACCGTAGAACTCAATTTTTTTTTTTTTTTTTTTTGAACTATGAATGCATTGGAATAACCCCAGAAAGAAGTCACCTGAAGTGTACTTGGTTTATTTTTCTATTATATGGAAGAAGTGTGAATTTGAATTTAATCAACTATCAATAAAGCTGGAAACTATATATTTACTGCCTTATCTTATCCAAGACAATATTTCTCATGAACTTAACCCTGGTAACAGGGAATTGAAACAAAAGCAGCTTTAATAGCCATAATTATTCGTATTTCTGTTTTTCTCCCCTCCTTTCAGGAAAACAAAAAAGAATAAACAGAAAAGTAAGAATATTTTTTCTTTAAATTAATTTGTTTTACCTTTATAACGTTTACATTTTGAAATTACTGTTAAATTGAAAAAATTATAAAGATTTAGAGTAAGCTTATGATACTGATGATATCAAATGTTAGTTTGCCAGCAGTGTTATAGGATGGGGAGTTAGGTAATTAGTGGTGGAGACCTAACTGATGTTCTTTTTACCGTGGAGAAACTTGTAAGCATTCATTTTTATCTTCCTGAGTCTCAATGACTCCTCCTAAGAAGTTAATATTTTTTAACAAATGGAAGATGGTAATATTATTAAATACTGCTTTATAATGTTTGATAGAGCTTTTAGTTCTTCAACTTGGATCCAAGTAACATCTATGTAGTGGAAAGATAGGTGGGTCAAGAGACTATTCTCCTCAAAGAGTTTCTTAATTAATTAATGAAAAACTATCATTTCACTTGTTCTCCCCCATCCTCCCTCCCTCTCCTCCCGGATTTTGTAAAGCACCTGGAAATGGAGATGGTGGCAGTACCAGTGAGACTCCTCAGCCTCCTCGGAAGAAAAGGGCCCGAGTAGATCCTACTGTTGAAAATGTGAGTTTTCCGTTATGATTTTGAATTGCATGTTAAGAATTTTTAGTCTCAGCCATGTGTTATAACACAATTAAGATAATCATAGAACTTTGATTCTCAAAAGCATGCTACCATGGTTAAAATCTGAAATTAAAACTTTAGCATTTTTTCGGTAAAGGTTATGTTTGTATATGTCTTTTTTTCCTTGGTAGCACTAGATTACCCTCCCTCGATTCATTATTAGATAAGCTTTATGTTTACATAAAAGACTAAGTATTTATTTGATGTTAGACTGGTTAGACTTATTAGGTCACATTAAATAGTAAGTCCCAAAATGGTTTAGTAAACCTGTTTAAAAAAAAAGAAAAAAGTCACAAACCCTTTCAGTTACTGGTATCTGTGTAGGAGTATAATAGCTTATCTAAGTGGTAAAGTGTCTTATTTCTGATTTATTATTGTTACATTTATAATTTCCCAAGTTACGAATTTGAAAAATAGGGTTTTAATATTTAACATAGTTTGCATTTCTGAAGCTGAAATTAGAAAGCAATAATATATTTAAAAACAGTGGTCTGTGCCTCACACCATACACAAGAGCAAATTCAAAATGGATTAAGGATGTAAGTGTACAAACTAAAATCATAAAATTTTGCCAGGCCTAACTTTCAACAACAGAGTATCTAATATAACAAAAGCACAAAGAGCAAAAGATTAAGTAACTCTTAAAAAATAAATAAAATCATAAAAATTAAAAAATTTTGTTCATCAAGACTTTACCAAAAAAGTGAAGGGACAAGCTACCGACTGGGAGAGTATCTTTAGAAACCGTATATCTGACAAGAATCTAACAACCAAATTGTATATAAAACTTTGACATCTTATCAGCAGAAAGACAACCCAGTCATAAAGTGGGCAAAGGACTTGAATAGGCATTTCACCAGAGGACGTTTAAACACACTAAACGCACGAAAGGATGCTCAGTGTCACCAGCCATAAGAGAGATGCAAATCAAAACCACAGTGAGATAGCCTTTTCACTCCTACTAGGATGGCTAAGGCACACACACAAAAAAACCAGAAAATAACAAACGTTGACCAGGATGTGGAGAAACTGTGGAACCCTTACCCATTGCTGGTGGGAATGCAAAATGGTACAACTGTTGTGGATAACAATGTGGTAGTTCCTCAAAAAACTAAAAATAGACCTGCCATATGACCTAGCAATTTTACTCCTAGGTATATACCCTAAAGACTTGAAAGCAGAGACTCAAAAAGAGACTTGTGCACCAGTGTTCATTTTAGCACTGTTCACAATAGCCAAAAGATGGAAACAGCCTAAATGCTCACCAACAAATACTGAATAAACAAAATATTGTACAGTCGTGTCCCCCTGCCCCCGCCGCCAGCCCTGCATCCTCGGTTTCGCTTTTCGTGGTTTCAGTTACCTGTGATAAACCACAGTTCGAAATTGTTAAATGAGTACATAGCATGATGAAATCTTGCACCGCCCCACTCTGTCATTCATGTAACTTTCGTTACAGTATATTGTTATAATTGTTCCCATTTTATTATTGTTAATCTCGTCCTGTGCCTAATTTATAAATTAAACTTCATCGTAGGTATGTATCGGACAGATCATAGTATATGTAGGGTTTGGCACTATCCGTGGTTTCAGGCATCCATGGGAGGTCTTGGAACGTATCCCCCATGGATAAGGGGGGACTACATACAGTGGAATGCTACTCAGCCGGTAGGAGAAATGAAGTCTTGATACATGCTACAGTATGAATGGAGCTTGAAGGCATACTGCACGAAATAAATCAATTACAAAAGGAGACTATATTGTACGACCTCACTAATATAAACATAACAAGAAAAGGTAAATATAGAGACCAAAGTTTATTAGTGGTTACTAGGGGCAGGAGGGAATGGGAAAAGGGTTAATAGTGATGAGAAAATCTCATTGATGAAGGGTAGTGTTGCACAGCTGATTATTGGAGTTGCTGCCAATAAGTTTTACACCTGTAGAAAGCTGAATTGGCAAAAATTGTGTGATGAATATATTTACAACAGTGACAAAAGAGTAGCTACTGAGTCTGTACAACCAAACAGCTTATGGGATTTGGTTCCTTGGTTTAGAGGTTTAGGGTCATGGTTTTCATGGGACATCCCAGTTAATTGGCCTGATGTGTTTAGTGCTTCTCTTCTACATCTTAGTTTGTTGTGTAGTGCCTGAGGTCTTAAAAGCTTGCAAGCAGCCATCCAGGGCACAACAGTTGGTCTCTATTTATCTTGAGCAACAGAGGAAGAAGGAGAGTCTGGATAGAAGAGAATATGGAATGTCTGGTGAATTGCCTCCATAAACAACTGCCTTCTTTGCCATGAGACCAGAAGAACTGAATGGTGCTGAACATTTTGATCAATGATTCCATAGGATCCAGATCAAAAAGGGTAAAATGCAGAATAGAATTCAAATTCTCATGGACTCTAGACTTTCTGGAGTCATGGAGGAGGGATGAACCCCTGAAACTGTTGCCCTGATGTAGTCTTTAAACCAAAAATATCCCCTGAAGCCTTCTTAAAACCAAACAGTATTTTAGCTTAACTAGTGAAAAAGGTTTGCCTTGAACATTATGCTCTTTTAAGAATTATATGGGATCAAATTAACAACAGAAAAGATAGGAACTTTAGGAGTAGTGAATTTATGATACTGAAAGAGGGTGAGAATAGTTGCATAACTGGAAGAATGTAATCAATGTAACTAAATTGTACACGTAGAAACTGTTTTGTGTATATTCTCAATAACAACAAAATAAATAAAACTCAGGAAAAAATAAAATATAACAGCAACCCAACAACACCCCCCTCCGCCCCCCCAAAAAAAAGAAATAGTCGTCTGTTCTGAAAGTTAGGCACCTTTGGGCAGCTACCGAGGACTTACGCAGCAATCAGTACATTTACTTATGCTGTATATTCATGATAAATGGATTAAATGTTGAATTTGTCAAGGATTTCATTTTACTTGGATTCACAACACCCATAGAAGCAGCAGTCAAGAAATCAAACAGTGTATTGCGTTGGGCAAATTTGCTGCAAGAGACCTCTTCAGAATGTTTAAAAGCAAAGATGTCAGTTTGAGGACTAAGGTGCGCCTCATCCAAGCCATGGCACTCTCAGTTGCCTGACGCATGCGTGAGTTGGACAATAAATAAGGGAGGCTAAAGAATTGATGCTTTTAAATTATGTTGTTGGTGAAGAATATTGAACATACTGTGGACTTCAAGGAAGAACGAACCAATCTGTCTTGAAAGAAATACAGCCAGAATGCTCCTTAGAAGCAAGGATGGCGAGACTTTGTCTCACATACTTTGGATGTGTTTTTAGGCGGAACCAGTCCTGGAAAAGGAAATCATGTTTGGTAAAGTAGAGGGTCAGCAAAAAAGTGGAAGACCCCTGTCTTAGTCATCTAGTTCTGCTATAACAAATACTACAAGTGAATGGCTTTAACAAAGAGAAATTTATTTTCTCACAATCTAGTAGGCTACAAGTCCAAATTCAGGGCATTAGCTCCAGGGGAAGGCATTCTCTGTCAGCTCTGGAGGAAGGTCCTTGTCCTCAGTCTTACCCTCAACTAGGAGCTTCTCCACATGGGGACCCCAGGTCCAAAGGATGCGCTTTACTCCCTGTGCTGCTTTTTCTTGGTGATAATAATGAGGTTCCCAACTCTGCTTGCTTCCCTTTCCTTTTATCACTTGTAAGATAAAAGATAGTAGTGCAGGCCACATCCCAGGGATGTGACCTTAGTAAGGGTGTTACAATCCCATCCTAATCCTCTTTAACATAAAATTACAATCACAAAATGGAGGATGACAACCACACAATACTGGGAATCGTGGCCCAGCCAAACTGATAGATTTTTGGGAGAACGTAGTTCAATCCATGACAGCCCCCAACGAGATGGACTGACACAGTGGCTGCAACAGTGGGCTCAGACATAGCAGCGATTGTGAAGATAGCACAGGACCAGGCAGTGTTTCTTTCTGTTGTAACAGGGCCGCTGTGAGTCGGAGCTGACTCGACAGTTCCTGACATAAACTACATGTATTCAAGATGCAGCTTCTACGTAGTCATGTTTGGGATAGTCATTTGGATATCAGTGGTAAATATGAAAATACCAAGTTAAAATCGATCAAGTCAGGGTGTTTATTTCCACAAAAAGAGGAAAGTTGTTAGAGGATTTTATTAAAGTTATTAAAGGTCGTTTGCCTTCACATGAAAATGCACTAAATGTAGACTACTTTGGTTCAATATAAGGTTCTTTTCTCCCAGCAGCTAAGTTGTATGTCTTTTCATTAGCAATTTTTGAAACGACAGTTCTGGCTGCATGGTTGAATACTTGAAAGAATTGACATCCAATGATTTGTAGAGTCGAGAAAAAGCTTGTTATTTAGCAAGGAAAGATTAGTTTTTAATTCCGTTTTATATTTAGGAGGAAACATTCATGAACAGAGTTGAAGTTAAAGTAAAGATTCCTGAAGAACTAAAACCATGGCTTGTTGATGACTGGGACTTAATTACCAGGCAAAAACAGGTAACTCAAAAAACTACACAGTTTGTAAGCTATGTTCTAGGCTGACCAAAAAAATGTTTTTTTCATGAAAATGTTATATAGACTTGAACTTCAAGATTTGATTAGTAAATAATATTTTTGTTCAGAAACTGAACAGCTTGACCCTCAGTAAGAATGACTTGGAGAAGAAAACATAGCAGGTACATAAAAGTCCTTGAGTTTATAGTGATACTCAGGGAAAGCAGAGCTGCGTTGCTGATTTATTCTGAAAATTGATAAAGGCAAAGAAACATGTGTTTTCTCTCTTTCCTATAGGGAGACGCTGATTTCAGGGTAACAATTATTTGAGAAAAGGTTCCCCATTTATGGGGGAATTCTGGCTAATAAATGCCAAAGGAATGGTAATCATTTCATGATTCTTGATCAAGTAATAAATAATAGGTAATGATTGTGACTGCTGACCCGTTAGATAGAAGGTTTTGGAGAACTTTATAGTGGATAGATCACGTTGACCAGGACTGAACACACTGATGAATCTTAACTATCATTGAAAACAGGACAGCCACACATGATGTCCCTGCTAATGGGATGCAATGGGAAGTACACAGCACCTTCTGTGAGGTATTTGTGGCCCAAAAAAGAACCTGAATCTAAGCTCATCCTAGGTCTAATTACTAGTTTATAGGAAATAGTGACATGGAGGACCATGATCATCAAAATCCAAAATGAAAAATTATCTAGGACAAATGAGCCAGTTTCTTTTAACAAATGGAATGGGTAGGGTGAAGATTATGGACTGCTTAAGAATTAGAAGATTTAGAGACATGGGTCATAAACAATATATGGTCTTTGGATCCTTATTTTACTCTGGAGCTAAACTGCCAAGGTTTAAAGCTTGGTTCTGCCACCTACTATCTGTGACCTTAGACTAGTTTTTCAACCTTTTTGTGCTTTAGTGTCTACATTTAATGGAATAATAACACCTACTTCATGGTGTAGATGTGAGAACGAAATGGGATAATTTATGTAAATGCTTTTGACAATGTCTTGGCTCATGATCTTAAATGATGACTTAATAGTATCATGGAGGCACATTCACGTCCATACAAGAGGAGCCCTGGTGGCCCAGTGGTTAAAGCACTTACCTGCTAGTTGAAAGGTATGTGGTTTGAACCCACCAGCCACTCCATGGGAGAAAGATGTGGCAGTCTGCTTCCATAAAGGTTACAGTCTTGGAAAACCTGTGGGGCAGTTCTGTCTTAAGGGTTGCTATGAGTTGGAATTGACTCAACCACAATGAGTGTATGTTCCATATATAGTGATTGTGTTGTGTGTATGTGTCCAACAGATTGCAAGTCTTCAGAGCAGTGCTAATAGGGTAGCCACTAGCCACATTTGGCTGTGTAATTAAATGTTTAGTTCCTCAGTTGCATTAGTCGTGTTTCAAGTCCTGAATAGCCACTTGTGAATAGGGACCCTGTGTTGGATTGTATATAGAACTTTCTATCATTGCAGAAACTTGTATTGGACAATGCTACGTTAGAGGCTTTGCCTTTTCTCCTATTTTTAAATTTTTAAAATTTTATTGTGCTTTAGGTGAAAGTTTACAGCACAAATTAGTTTCTCATTCAAAAATTTATACACAGACGGTATTGCAACATTGGTTGCATTCCCCTGCAGTGTGTCAGCACTGCCCTTTTCCAGCCTGGGTTCCGTGTGTCCATTCATCTAGTTTTCCTGCCACTTGCTGCCTTCTTGTCTTACTTTTTGGGCAGGATTTGTCCCTTTGGTCTATTTTTAAATATTATTAGGTGTTATTAGTTGTACTAAAGCTGTTTTAGTGTAATTATTCTTCAAAAAGAATACTGGTATTCAAGTGTGGTTTTGTTTTCATAGCTGTTTTATCTTCCTGCCAAGAAGAATGTGGATTCCATTCTAGAGGATTATGCAAATTACAAGAAATCACGAGGAAACACAGATAATAAGTAAGAGTATACACACCTTTTTAGTGTCTCAAAGGCATTTTTCTTTTAAATATGTTATTTCCAAATTAGTCATTTGAAACTTGTAGTCACTCGAAAAAATGGACGCCATCAGAAATTAGCAAAATAGAATTTCATTTGTTTGGTTACAGGGATTGGCTGGCAGACATTTTCTTAAAGAGCCATATATTTCAGGCTTTGCAGGCCCAAAGACAAAATTGAGAGGTTTATATAGATAATTACATAATCATTTGAAAATGTAAAAACTAGTTTTAACTTGAGGATGTAGTTGCTGACCTTTGGTTTAGCATATTTTTTAAACGTCATTTCGTGTAACCCTGTTAAATCCCTTTTAAAAATAATCTGTACAGCTCAGCAGTGGTTCACTGCCCCTAGTTCAGCCTGAAACTTGATTTCTTACCCTTGTGTTGGTTGAATTTTTTCATCGGCCAGCTTTGATAGTAAATTTTTTTTTTTCGTCTATTAGGGAGTATGCTGTTAATGAAGTTGTGGCAGGGATAAAAGAATACTTCAATGTCATGTTGGGCACTCAGCTACTTTACAAATTTGAGAGACCACAGTATGCTGAAATCCTTGCAGATCACCCTGATGCACCCATGTCCCAGGTTTATGGAGCGCCACATCTACTGAGATTATTTGGTAACATGCCATTTAGCAGAAGGAATTTTACTTCTTTTCTTTGGACCTGTAGTAATCTTAATTTTTTTCTCTTATCTAAATGAACAAGATGTTTTCTGAAACATGATTTTGTTGGCAGTTAGAACTTTAAAATGTTAATTATCAAAATCTATTTAAAAGTAGAGTTTCTCAAATCATCTATTTTAATGGAATTAGTGGTTGCATTTGCTTACATTATTAAAATATATGGTTATAGTGCTGCTTGGATGTAATTTTGACTTAATTCTTCTGTTTAAATAGTACGAATTGGAGCAATGTTGGCCTATACACCTCTGGATGAGAAGAGCCTTGCTTTATTACTGAACTATCTTCATGATTTCCTAAAGTAAGTTTACATATGCTTGAAAGTAAAAACATGAATTAATACAGTGTACTGAAATTTACTCAGTGATAGGGGAGATTAATGCTATATATAGTGAAACACAGTACAACTAAAGTAAACAAAATGGAGCCCTGGTGGTGCAGTGGGTATGAGCTTGGCTGCTAACCAAAAGGTTAGCAGTTTGAATCCACCAGCTGCTCCTTGGAAACCTTATGGGGCAGTTCTCCTCGGTCTTACAGGGTTGCTGTGAGTCGGAATCAACTCGACAGCAGCGAATGTGTTTTTTTTTTGGTTTGGTATAGTGAAACATAATACAACCAAAGTAAATAAAACAATGTGGTACTGGTATAGGAAAAGATAGATGGTCCATAAAACAGTATAAATAAGTACAAGTATATGGAAATTTTAGAGATGGCTTATCAGTGCAGCAGAGGAAATAGAATATTTATATTTAATAGATGATGAGGGACAGCTAACTAGTCATTTGGAAGAAAACAAAGTTAGATCCATTCTTAATGTTGTATACCTTAATTCTAGATGAGTCAAAACTTTTAATCTAAAAATTTAAACTATTAATAAAATTGAAGAAAAATGTGGGATAATCCTTTTACAATTTCGTGGTGAGAATGGCCTTTCTAAAAATTGTACTGAAATAATACCGGAAACAGTTGACAAATTTGACTGTAGAAAGTTAAAATTCCATGATTAAAAATAACCTTTAAAAAGAAGTCAAAAGATGGAGTATTTGTTACATGTAGTTGTTAACATATATGCTAATACGCAAGGAGGAGTCCTTAATAAGAAAAAGATGAACAAACCAATTTAAAATAGAACTGGAAATTCACAGAAATGACATGCAAAGTACCATTAAAATTGTTCTACATTTTCATAAAAATACAAATTAAAATATCAGTGAAATAGCTCTTGTCAGGCTGAGATTCAAAATATTTGATGGCTGTTGTAGAGAGTAGTTGATGCAACTTTTTGATGTACTTAGACTTTGAACAGTTGTATTTCTGAGAACTTACCTTGTAGAAGTACTTAAATTTTCCAAGATTTTCAAGCATGTTTGAGTTTTTTTTAACAATGTGTCAACAGTCTCTTCCATTGCGTTCTGGTTGTTTCATTTCCAGTGCTGTAGTTTCCTTGCCCCCTTATCTTCTCATCTTTGCTTTAGAGTAATTGTTGACTTTTTGGTCTCATATAGATGATTTGTTTTCCCTAAATTTTACTTAACTTTGTTATTTTTGAGACTATACACAGCAAAACATACAGCAGTCCACCTGTTTTTTACATGTACAGTTTAATGACGTTATATTCTTTGAGTTGTGTAACCATTCTCACTCTTTTTCTGAGTTGTTCCTCCCTCATAAAGATAAACTCACTGCCCTTCAAGTTGCTATCTAATCTTTTGTATTACTGTTGTCAGTTTGATCCCATACAGATAGTTATTAAAAGAGCACATGCTCAAGGCAGGCCTTTTTTACTAGTTAAGCTAAACTATTGTTCAGTTTTAAGATGACTTCAAGGGATATTTTTGGTTTAAAAATTATCTCACGGCAGTAGTTTCAAGGGTTCATCCTCCCTCCATGTCTCCAAAAAGCCTAGAGTCCATGAGAATTTGAAATTTTATTCTGCATTTTCCCCTTTTTGATTAGGATTCTTCTGTGGTATCTTTGATCAAAATGTTCAATAATGGTAGCTGGGCACCATCTAGTTCTGGTCTTATGGCAAAGGAGGCAGTTGTTCGTGGAGATGATTTTTTAATGGAGCTTGCAAGGACTCATGGGTAATACCCTTTATTTTGAACAGTGAGGAATTTGAAACAACCAAGCAGCTATTAAAAGAATAAATACACTGTTACAGAAAGACATCCATATTGTGTTAATTGAAGGGAAAAAACACCAAGCTACAATAAGGGGGTATGGTATGATTCCACTCATTTGTGGACAAAAGTCCATACTTAACAGTATGCTCATTTCTTGAGCATGAAATTGGGGTTAAAGTTTGGATTTTTCAGTTTCTACTTTATGTATTTCTCTGTTTGGATTTTCTTATAGCCATGTAAATTTTTAATTAAAATTTTGAAACTGCAGCATGGGCCTGGGCATCTAAAAGGAATTCAGGTCCTTCGTCTGCCAGTGATAAATGTCCTTTCTAGACCTGAATTTCTTTAAAATGAAAGTACTCCACTACCTGACATTTTAGATCCCTTTCAACTCGAAAATGCTTTGATTTTATGGTGTTAACTTCATGTTTAAACTTGAAATTTACTTGTAAATTTTTGAATCTATGTTAAGGATTTCAAAGAGCTGAAGGAAAAGACCTTAGATGTTAGTCTTTTAGTGTAACAGTAAATTTTTTCTTTAAGGATAGTTCAAGCTGTCAACTTGGTGTTCTGATTTAACTCTTTGTAGTGGCTGAAAGTGCAGGGGTCATGATGTTTTCTGTGAAGAAGGATGCTGTTCTTAGTTGCCATTGAATCAACTCAGACTCGTGGCATCGCCATGTGTGCAGAGTAGAACAGCTCCATAGGATTTTCCAGGCTGTGGCCTTTCAGAAGCAAGTCATCAGGCCTGTCTTCTGAGGAGCCTATGGGTGGGTTTGAACCACCAACCTTTCAGCAAGTAGTCGAGCACTTAACTGTTCGTGCCACCCAGGGACCTCAGCCTTGTGTTTTGTTCTCATATCTGTTGTCCCCTGTTTTCAATTAAAGAAGAATAGCTCTGGACTTTATTCCTCTGTGGATAGTTTTATCAGGTATATAACCTTATTTACTCCAGTTATAATTAACATCGTTTTACATGAGGTGATGATCGCTTTTGTGTATTTTAGAAAACATTTTTTATGTGGCTTATGTATATATATATCCTGTGGGAAGAGGTTTGGATCAAGATATGAGTCTCCTTAATCTTTTTAATGAATAATTTTACTTTTAGGTACCTGGCAAAGAATTCTGCCACTTTGTTTAGTGCCAGTGATTATGAAGTGGCTCCTCCTGAGTATCATCGGAAGGCTGTGTGAGACTGCTGACACTCATATTTGGATCTCTGTAAACACATTTTTGTTCTTAGTCCTTCTCTTGTACAAATGATGTACTTTGAAAATGTTGGCATATAACAAAATTGATGTATGTTTGTTTTCTGTTTGATTTTAAACAGAGAAAATAAAAGGGGTTATAGCCCCTTTTTTCTTTTCTTTCTCTCTCTCTTTTTTCATTTCAAAATTGCTGCCAGTGTATTCAGTGATGGACAACGGAGAGACATGCTGTAGAGTGTTTTATTACCTAGCTGACAAAGCTGCTTTTGAATGCTGGTGGTTCTATTCCTTTGACACTACGCACTTTTATAATATGTGTTAATGCTATATGACAAAATGCTCTGATTCTTAGTGCCAAAGGTTCATTTCAGTGTATATAACTGAACACACTCACCCATTTGTGCTCTCTCTCTCTTTTTTTTTTTAAATGGTGCTTAAAGAGCCCATCCTTTGCAAGTCATCTATGTTGTTCCTTAGGCATTTTATCCTTGCTCAGATTGTTGAAGAATGGTGGCTTGTTTCATGGTTTTTGTATTTGTGTCTAATGCACGTTTTAACATGATAGATGCAATGCCTTGTGTAGCTACAATTTCTGGACAAGTTGATCTTTTAGGAATTGTTTTTCAGATCCTCAATAAATTTTTTCTTTAAAATTTCAAAGAGTAATGTGCTTGTGTGGATGCATTACAAAACCGTTTTTGTGGCGTGTATTCCTTCTTGTATTTAGAGAGTGATTTTTCAGGTGGGTGTTCAGTTTTCTGGTCTGGCCTTTATGGGATAAGAAACGTGGCTTCAGTACCTAGTTCTAAGCCATAGCAGCTTTGGCAGTTTGCTGTCTTAATTCTCAGCTAAGAAGCTAGAGGTTCACACATTATTTCTCTATTTTCCCAAGACTTAACTATTGGGGGCATTAGGGGCATTTTTACCTGTGTAACAGCTTGCTTTCTGTCAATAATTGTTTATTTTAAGGTATTTACCCTTAAAAATGAGATAAAAGCAGCAGTGTGCTACAAAAATTTGTAAAGGGCAATATTTCTTTCCTTTGGTAGAGGTTCCAGAGTGGTCTGGACTTGGGTAGGGATCATATTACTTACTGACAACAAAAATGCAAAGCATAGGTAAGTTCAGATGGCAAGAGCTATAGCAGTACAAAGGAGAGTGAGTTCAGATGGGGGATAAGCAAATAAGCTCCAAGAGGCAGTAGAATTTGCTGTGGGCATTTGAAGGTGACCGTACCGAGCCATAGTAGTTACTCTTCAGCCTCCTCATTCTTTATACTCACTCATTCTGTGCTTTTTATTTATTTACCCTCCCCCTTTTGTCACAGGTATACTTACTTAGTCTAACAGCTACAGAATTTTGTTGCTTGGAACCTTCTAGCTGTTGCATTTTATTAGTTTACCTAGAGATGATTAAATATGCTCATCGTCCCTTGAACATTGGTGCTATTTGTTTACAGATATGCTTTTACAGTCACTTCATCTAAGAAAGATTAAGGTGGTGGTGTCCTTTTTTTTTTTTTTTTTTCCTGTATTCCAGTGCCTACACAATGCTGTTTTTTGATCACAGTAGTGATACATTTTTACTAAGCCAAGATTGCATTTGTATGTACATCTGTTTTTAATTTGTACAAATATACCTTAATTTGAAACCTTATAGGCCACTTCCTGTAAGAGAGCCACTCAAATCTTTCTGGTATGACCATTTTATTTCTTCTGTTAAAAATTGAGGACTCCAAAGAGCCTCTGTTTATATAATTAAGTTTTTTCAATTTTACCATCTTAGAAACTAAATATTTAAAACATAAAAGAATATGTTAACATGTTCCATCAGCCATCAGAGTGATATCACATGTCATGTAACTCTGGAAAACACACATAACTCCTGTGCAAAAAAAGTGAAATGATTTCTTGTTCTTGTTTGTTGCCGTTGAGTTGATTTCAACTCAGTGGCGATCCCACGTGTAGAACTGCTCCTTAGGGTTTTCAAGGCTGTGACCTTTGAAAAGAAAGCAGATCGCCAAACCTGTCTTCCAAGGTATATCTGGGTAGGTTCGAACTGCTAGCCTTTCAGCCAGTAGTCGAATGCTTCAGTGTTTACACCACCCAGGGACGCCTAATGATTTCTTAGTAGTATGAAAATAGCTTTAACCTCACAGACTCCCTGAAAGCATCCCAGGGACTACGGGAATCCTTGGGCCACTCTTTAAGAACTGCTGCTATAAAGCTTTATCACTTGGGATTTATAGCAATACTTTTATTGTTGTGTATTCAGAAATTTTAGTGTTTATTCACAAAGCTTGAAAGTCAGGATTTTGTTAATTATTCATAAGACTCCCTCAAAATTTAAATACATGATTAGAGCACTGATACTAAAGAAAACACTAATCTTCTTGGATATTAAGTCAAGAGTTTTTTTGCATTCACTAGTAATTCTTAATGTGTCTCCAGAACGTGTTATATAGTCATAAGAGTAGCTTCAGTTATAAAATGTCAAGATAATCCTGATCATTGTAGTTCATTGCTTGCCAAAAAATGAAAATCAGATCAATACTAATATTATTAAAACCATTTTTTGTTTTAGTGTTTTTTTTAAACCAAGATCTTTATTCCCAAACGTTTACATTTCCCAGTGTTTATTAAACTAACCACTGTGTTTGAGCCTCAGCTAAATACTCTCCTGGCTATTTGCGCCTCCGCTTCCTTGTTAACTGTTACAGTTCAGCTAAAGTTTCAGGGCTCTTTATGAGTAATACGTGGTTTTTAAAAGTTTACTCCATAACCATCTTAATCTTGGTTTCCAAAGTATTATGTTAATTGTGTTTAAAAATCATGTATGGTAAAATGGCAAACAATATATAACATTTTGGTTACATTCATAGTAGAACTTAGTATACACATGTTTATGGAGAAATAAAGACTTGGTCAAGTTATAGGTTATAATTATAGGGGTAGGACATACTTGTGAAATAGTTTAGCTTTCTTGACATGTCCATGGCATTTGATAGTGTACGGATACCTTGTTTATTAGGCACTTAGTTTTTATAGTTTGTCCTATTAGTCAGTTGTGATATTTTCAAGGTTTTCAAATAACTTCCTCAGAATCATAGATCCTTCATATCTTTTCCCCTGAGCCTGTTTTTCACTTTTGCTGAGCATGCTCTTGTGCAGTTCTACAACTGCCATCTGTCTTTATGGGCATTTGTTAATAGCTGCTACTATTTTTGGCATGTATTTTAGGTGACAGGATTTGCCAAGTTACCTCAATCCTTCCTTATAGCAACATTTCAAAAATTGTTTTACAAGGAGAAGTCAAGGTTTCAGAGGTAAGAAACTTGCCCACTGTTGTTGAGCTAAGAAGTGGCAGACAGAAAAAAAGAAAAACCAAATGCATTGCCATTGAGTCGATTCCGATTCATAGCAACCCTATAGGACAGAGTAGAACAGCCCCCTTGGGTTTCCAAGGAGTAGTTGGTGGTTTCAAGCTGCTGACCTTTTGGTTAGCAGCCAGGCTCTTAACCACTGTGCTGTCAGGGCTCCTAGAAGTGGCAGAGCCAGGTGTAAATACTAGCCACACATCCTTTCAATCACTAAGTCTTAGCCAATTATCAAATATTTTCTGTTCTCTTTCCCAGCTGTCTCTTCTCTATTAGTATGTATTTTAATAGTTTTTAGTCTAATACCTGCTGCCATCCCCATCCCACACACATTCATTTCATTCTCCACATTGCCACTAGTAATTATTTAAAATAATCATGCCACTCTTCTCCTTAAATTAGATAATACTTGAATCAGTAGAGTTAAGCCAGATGAGGTTAAGGTGCAAAGTCCCACACACCTCTTCACCTCACCGTGCTATGTTTCAGCCAATGCTTTTTACTTTGCCTCTAGGCTTTCACGTGCCACTGAGTGAAAACAAGTTGGAGAATAATATACCAATATGTGCAAAAAATAGTACCCTATTTTCTAGGGATATACATAAAGTGTTTTTTTTTAAGTCTGGAGACTTGTTTTGGGGCAGTACAGTAGACTAAGAATGTGAAATTGCTCCCACTACAGAATACTTAGAAATGCATGTATGAGCACAAAAGGAAGTTAAGGAACGTATTTTAAAAGTAACAGGCGAGGGACCCTCAAAACTTTGGCTGCTCTAACTTTAGACAACATGGGGATACTGCATATGAAGTATGTTTAAAGAAAAAGAACTGAAAACATGAGAATGGAACAAAGACCCAGTATAAAGTAATGGCAGACTTGATAATTAAGATCAACCTACCATTGAGGACTCTTAGAACATAAGCAGAAATATAAAACATGAAGCTTAAAGACACTGGAGAGTTAAGAAGATGGTGAAGGCTTAATGGACCAGGATCTGGGAGAGGTCAGAGTCCCAGGGGATGTCAGCCTATGTTTAGTGCTGCTTTTATCTTGATGTTTGACAAGGTAAGCATGGGTGCCTGGTAGGTTGAGTGATTCTTTTGACATTCTCACTTGGGCTTAAGGACATGAATTGGAGTCCAGGGCCTGCCAAGAAATGAGGACCCCAAAGACTATATACCAGAAGAATAAGGGTGAACCAGCTATAGTCAGGTCCTGGCAGGGGCTGTAGCTCAGCTTTTCAGTCACCTCAATCCCTGAAGTTGAAGCAATCCCGGATTACTTCAGGTACCTGGCAGAAGTAAACATAAATCCTCTTGGTGAATAATAGCTTCACCCTGATCCTCAAATTATTTCTCCAGTTGCAAATACAATGTCCAGCACATAATAACATGGCATGTGAGACAACACTATATGAAGAAAACAAAGCATCAAGAGAAACTGACTTGAGAGGCTATTAGATTCAATCTAACAAATGACAGATATCCTAAGTCAGTCTTACAAGGCAAGTCAGATACTGGAGTTAACAGACACACTTTAAACAGACACACACTTTAACCATGCTTAATATATTCTGAGAGGTAAGAGTTGAGAATTTAAATAGAGAACTCTGTAAAGAACCAAATGGGAGTTCTAGAACCAAAAAATAATAGCTAAAATAGGAACTCAATGAATAGATTTAACAGATACAGCTAAAGAGAGAAAAGTAAATTGGAAGACAAGGCAGGAGTGAAATATGCATATTGAGGCACAGAGAAAAATGAAAAATGCAGTGATAAGAGTGTTTATAAGATAATGTATAATCTGAGTTCCAGAAGGAGAGTAGCAAGAGAATGGGTAGAAGTAATGATTGATATGACTGACAACTTTGCAGAACTGATGAATTGTAAGTCTAAAGATTCAAGAAGCCTTAAGAACCTCAAGCATGGTGAAAATAAAAACCATGATAGGTGTATCATTGAAAACGACAAAATTTTCAAAGCATCCCAATAAAAACGAGATCTAACAGTGCAGTTAATGGGAACCAGGAGACAATGGAATGTTTAAAATGCTGAAAGAAAACTGCAACCTAGAATTCGAAACCCGATAAAAATCCTTCAAGAAATAGACATTTTCAGATAAAAATCAAAGAATATGTCAAATCATTACCAGCAGGAAAAAAAAAACCCTGAAGGATATTCTTCAGACAGAAAGGAAATTATCCCAGAAGGTAGGAGATAAGATGTGAAGCTCAGTGAAAATGGTAAATATGTGGATAAATCTAATGTTGACTGTATATAATAATGTTGAGTTTCAAATACAAACTGCTTCAATAATGTAAACAGACTAAATTCTCTAATTAAAAGATTGCCAAACTGGTTAAAAGCCACTCAACTGTATGCTGTTTACGTCTAAAATACAAAGATTGAAAGTAGAAGGAAGGAAAAGAGAAAAAGAAGATTGTATTATCTGTTGCTGTGTTAACAAACCACCCTAAAATCTAGCTGGCTTAAAAACAATAAGTAAGAAGACCAGACTTAATGGTCTGACTGAGACTGGAGGAACCCTGGAAGGCATGGCCCCCGGATTCTCTATAAACCCAGAACTAAAACAGTTTCCGAGGTCGACTCTTCAGACAGGGATTGGACTGGACTGTAGGACATAAAAGTGATACTCATGAGGAGCGTGCCTCTTAGCTCAAGTAGATAAAAGAGACTAAACAGGCAGCTTCTGTCTGGAGGTGAGATGGGAAGGCAGAGAGAGTTAAGGGCTGGTTGAGTGGACATGGGAAATCGGGTGGAAAGGAGGAATGTGTTGTCACAGTATGGGGAGAGCAATTAGAATCACATAACAGTGTATGTATAAATTTTTGTATGGGAGACTAACTTGAAACGTAAACATTTAAACTACAACAATAAACAAAACCCAATAATTTGGTATTTCTCAAGATTCTATGAGTTTGCTGGGCTCAGCTGAGCAGCTGGATTTGGCTGGGATTACTTGTGAGCTAGATGGAGAGAGAGAAACCTTTGAAAATTCAGGGGCTTGCCACTTTGGTGACATTTTCTGGCTGTCCTGTAGTCTGGAGCATTTTGGGATGTTCCCACTAAGGGGAATGCCAGCTTGCTGCATCTTGCGCTACCATTAAGGAAGGCACAACACGCAGTTGACATCTTGGATATTGAG